AGGTGGACAAGGTCCTGCAGAAGTTTCTGACCTACGGGCAGCACTGTGAGCAGAGCCTGGAGGAGCTGCTACACTACGTGGGCCAGCTGCGGGCTGAGCTGGCCAATGCAGGTGGGTGTCCCCCGTGAGAGCCCCATGTCTGCCTCCGGGGGGAGCCTAGGAGACCCCAGGGGTGCTTGGTGACAGGCTTCTAGAAGGATGATGGTTTGTGGACGTCAGTACATGGATCCCTAGGCCTCCTTGAAGGATAATGGAAGTCATTCTGAGCTATTTCATTTTTTTTTTTTTATTTTTTTAATTTTTTTTTTTCAACGTTTATTTATTTTTGGGACAGAGAGAGAGACAGAGCATGAACGGGCGAGGGGCAGAGGGAGAGGGAGACACAGAATGGGAAACAGGCTCCAGGCTCTGAGCTATCAGCCCAGAGCCCGACGCGGGGCTCGAACTCACGGACCGCGAGATCGTGACCTGGCTGAAGTCGGACGCTTAACTGACTGCGCCACCCAGGCGCCCCCATTCTGAGCTATTTCAAAAGTCCCAACAGAAGTTACTAATTTAGGGGTGCCTGGGTGGCTCAGTCAGTTAAGTGTCCAAATCTTGATTTCGGCTCAGGTCATGATCTCAGGGTCATGTGATCAGGCCATGTGTGGGGCTCCGTGCTGGGCGCAGAGCCTGCTTGATTCTCTCTGTCACTCTCTACCTCCCCCACTTGCTTTCTTCTTTCAAAAAAAAGACATTTTGGGGTAGTTTCAAATTTACAGAAAAGTTCCAGGAATAGTATAAAGAACTCATATATACTCTTCATCCAAATTTACAAACTGTGGATATGATTGCCAGATTTGCTTTATCACTTCTCTTGCATACTCTTACTTTTTCACCATTTGAAAGTAAGTTGCAGATCTCAAACCACTTGGCCCCTAAACTTTCGGTGTGTATTTCCTAAGGTCAAGGGTATTCTTTTACATAAGTACAGTGTAATTATTAAAATCAATAAGTTAAATATTAATACAATGTGATGGCCTAATGAATTCAGCTCATACTTTGATTTTATCATTGTCCGATGGTTTTCATAAAACCTTTTAATTTTATCCCCCATTCCAGGATCATGCACTACATTGTTTCCCATGTCTAATCTTTGTTTTTTCTTTTTTAATTTTATGTTTTAATTTTATTAAATTTATTTATAAATTTATTTATAAATTTATTAAAATTTATTAATTAAATTTTAATTTAATGTTATTTTTGAGAGAGAGAGAGAGGGAGACAAAGCACAAGTGGGGGAGGGGCAGAGAGAGAGGGAGATATAGAATCCGAAGCAGGCTCCAGGCCCTGAGCTGTCAGCACAGAGCCCGACAGGGGGCTTGAACCCACAAACCATGCAATCCATGACCTGAGCCGAAGTTGGACACTTATCTGACTGAGCCACCCAGGCACCCCATAATCTTTGGTTTTTTAAACCTGGGACATTTCTTTTACTTGGTCTTTGTCTTTCAGGACATTTGACATTTTTGAAGAATTAAGGCTAGGGGCACCTTGATGGCTCAGTCGGTTAAGTTGTCTGTCCGACTTCGGCTCAGGTCATGATCTCGTGGTTCATGGGTTCAAGCCCCCCAGCGGGCTCTGTACTGATAGCTCAGAGACTGGTGCCTGCTTCAGATTCTGTGTCTCCCTCTCTCTCTGCCCCTGCCCTGCTCTTGCTCTGTTTCTCTCTGTCTCTCAAAAATACTAAATGTTATAAAAATTTTTTTTGAAACACTAAGGCTAATGGTCTTGCAGAATATCTCTTGGTTTGGACTTGTCTGCTGTTTCCTCCTCAGTCAGATTTTACATCTTGGGTAGCAGTACTTAAGAAGCAGTATGGTTCTCAGTGCATCATATCAGGAGGTACAAGGTGTCAGCTTGTTCCATGATTGGTGATGTGAACTTTGATTACTTGGTTAAGAAGGGTCCACCAGGTTCCCTCCCTCCCCTTACCCCCCTCTCCCTGTAAGGGTAATATTTCTCACCAGTTAATTAGTAAGAAATTTGAGGAGAGATGCTTTGAGTCTGTGTAAATGTCCTGAGCGTTATCATATGTCAGCCCACTAACTTTAGTGTCCATTGAAGTTTCTTGCCTTTAATTAGTTATTACAAAGCTGGTTGCAACATGGGTGACTTTTTCTGCTCTGTCGTTCCTTACATACATTTGAGTCTTGAACGACACAGATTTGAACTGTGAGGGTCCACTTACATGCAGATTTGTTTTTCCATAAATACAGTACAGTACTATAAATATATTTCTTATTCTGTATGATTTTCTCAATGACATTTTCTTTTTCCTAGCTTTATTGTAAAAATACAGTACATAATACCTGACATACAAAATATGTGTCAATTGACTGTTTATGTTATTGGTAAGGCTTCCAGTTAACAGTAAGCTATTTGTAGTTAAGTTTTTGGGGAATCAAAAGTTAGGGCTGCCTGGCTGGTTCAGGGGATAGAGCATGCGACTGTTGATCTTGGAGTCATGACTTTGAGCCCCACATTGGGCACAGAGATTAATTAAAAATTTTTTTAAAAAATGGGCTAAATGGGCAAGGGGCATTAAGGAGGACACTTGTTGGAATGAGCACTGGGTGTTATATGTAAGTGGTGAATCACTAAATTCTATTCC